TAGAAGTACCCTAATAGAGAGGACCCAAATAGGTAGATTAGATAGCCGTCCAAAATGATATTAAACTAGACACCTATATAGATCCTCGCAAGCTTAGACTATAAGAGAGGGAGGGACCTAATATTATAGTAACCTTAGAGGCTACCTAATAAGCATGGATATACTACTAGTAGTAGTATATCTTAGAGATATTACACGCTGGTAGCTAGTTAATAGATTATTAGATAGGTGGCCCGTCTACTAGCTAATTAGTTAAAGCATAGCGCTAGCCACCCTTAGTAAGGGTATATAATAAAGCGAGAAGATAGATCTATGCTAGATATAGGAGAGGATTTTTTCTCCTTATCTAACGTCTTATACCTACACATAGATACTAAACGTAGTATATTAATCTAGCCTACCTAGGCCTTAGTGTTATAAGGGGTTTCCACGTACCTAACCATAGGTTCGGACCTTGCGGGTATTTAGTAATTCAAGTATAAGGGATAGTGGTACTAAAGAGGTTGGGTAAATATCCTATACTATATAATAGTATAATGTAATAAATATTAAAAGAAGGCTAATAGTTTATATAAAGATGAGTGGCTTTAATTTAGATATAAAAGTAAGCTTTTAAAGTTGACTATAAAGAATAGAAATATTTAAAGAATATCTAAGACTATATACCTATCTTTCCATCCTTTATGGTCCTGGTCTACTCCCTTGCCAACGTCTCCTTAGTGGGAGTAACCTTCTCCTAGAGTATCTTACTCCCTTACTAATGTCTCCTTAGTAGGAGTACCTTCTTGCTCCCTTGCTAAGGTCCTCTTAGCAGGAGCACGGTCACGTGACCACTTATATTAATATAACTAGGGTGGTCACCTAGCATTCTTTAGTGCATTAGCCTCTAGGTCCTTTACTAGGTTCTTCCTGCATATCACCTTTGTCTTCCTATAGTAATTCTATATAATCGTAACATTATCCCCCCTTTTTAGGGTTATTGTCCTAATATCTTGTTATGGTCTTGTGACCTATTATGGCGGCGTTATTAGGTAGTATAAAGGTAGGCGCTTCCCTAAACCTACTAGGACTATTATATCCTCTGTATCCTAGCCTTCCTAACCATGCCTAAGGTAACCAAGAACCCCATTCCTATACTAAGGACGGATCCTTTAGTACTAAAGAAGAACTTAACTACTTATTATTATTATTAGAGCCGTTATTATTATTACCCACGGCACTAGCCATAATATAGTTGGTAGCCTAGAAGATATTAATATGCGCCTAAGCTGCGTCTAAGTAATACACCCATAATAATCTCTAGGAGAGGAATAAGCCTAGCTAAACCCTCTAGGGTAGTAGTAATGCGGCGCTACTCTATGAGGATAAGGCCTAGGTACTAAGGGCTGGTGGTAGGGACTTAAGTGGCCATACCTATAGGAGTGCCAGAATGAGCTATGATGCGCCTATAATTATATAGCTCTAAGTTAAATTACTTCTAGTAGCGCATAAACTTTAAGCCTATATACTAAATATTAGTATTAGCCCTACGCGTAATAGCGCTAGTAGGGGTAGTAGTAATAGTAGTAAGGTAGTAATTATAGAGCTAGTAGAGGCGATTTAAGTAACTATTAAGCTTATTAGGTACCTATAATAATTAGCTAAAGCGTATATATAACGCGCGACTCTAAATAACCTACTAAGGTGTAGCCACTATAGTTTCTATCCTTATAGTACTTATAGTAGCGTTCCTTAGTCTTCTTATAATTATTAGGTAGCTTAACTAAGTTCTACGCATAGTATATATAAGTTATAACTATAGTAACTTAGTCTATACGCTTTACGGTATTACTCTATATAAAGTTATAGGTATTGTAGAGGGCGGTTTTCGTGATATACTTAGGGATAGGGTAGTGAACCATAATTATAAATTATTAAGCGAGTCGCGTACGCTTTATAAGTAGTGTTATAGTATTAAGGAGATGTTAAGCGTGAGACAAGTAATATAAAATTAAAATATAGAGGGCTTATCTATTTATTATTACTAAGGCTATAGTAAATAGAAGGTATAGAGTCTTTACCATAATAATACGCAACATGCAATTACGGCAGGCACCATATATAGGCAATACGCCATTATAGCATAGGTAAAAAGCACTACTATAGACACTCTTTTCCTTTCCTATAGGGTAAGGTTTTTATCGAGGCTATAGTATGCTGCTAGGGACTATAGCTAGAGGGGGAGATTCTGTAATAAGTAGATCACGAAGTTTATTATAGTGTTATGGCATATGGCACTAAGGCCTAATAGAGTCCTAGTATACTAAGTAAGTTGGCTACGTATACCCCGCGCCGCACACCGGCTTTAGGGAAGTTAAGTATTATTTACTTAATGCCATTAAGTCATCCTTTCACTATCAATCCTAGCGTGAAGTAAATACTATTG